GGAGGCTGAGGCAGGAGGATCACTTGAGCCCAGGAGTTCAAGGTTGCTGTGAGCTAAGCTGACGCCACGGCATTCTAGCCAGGGTGACAAAGTGAGACTTTGTCTCAAAAAAAAAGAAAGAAAAAGAAATTTAGTATGTATGGATGTTGTCAGTCTCTTTGCCTTTGTCTTATCTTCCCAATCAAACCATACAGAGAGATGTTTTATTTAACTTTCTGTCTCCACAGTGTCTAAACATAGTGTTTTCCATACATAGTATGTGCTGCAGAAATGTTGCTTTTTAAACAGTTCATCATTTAAACAGTTCATTTAAGCGGTTAATTCATATCTACAGTTTTAAAAATTAGTTTCTGGAATAGGAATGTCTTTTTATTCTTATTATCTCTTGTGTATTCCCATTATCCTTCTCTGAAATTCTCTTTTGTGTCTATTTTTCATTCGTTTTTTTCCATCTGTTTAATCCCATCTGTTTTTGGTGAGCTTTTCATATTATTCATGCCAGTGCTTCACAGGGATGCTGTCCCTCTCCTCTCACATATCCCCTTAGCTTCATCTCCCTGTGATTTCCATATTCTTCCCCTTCGCTTTCTTCTTTAACGTCTCTCTGCCACCCGTCTGTCTCACTCCTTCAGCTCTACGTGGGATTGAGGCCTTATGCAGCATCCTCACCCTGACATATGCTAGGCTCTGTGTTGGGTACTGGGGATATGGAGAAGGCTAAGACAAGGTTCTTGCGCTCTAGGCACTCACAGTCTAATAGGAGTCAGAGACAAGTAAAGAACAATGACAATAAAGTATGAGAAGTCCTGTAATGGTGTCATGTACAAAGTGTTGTGAGAGGAAAGGAAGGCAAATTAACCACCTCTGGCTGGACTGGGCTGGGGGAAGCTTCTCAGCAGCAAGGATGGTCACAGTTTCAACAGGCCAAGAAAGGAGGGAAGGGACTGCAGTGTAGAGTAACTATGTCTGTGCAAAGGCACCAAGGTGGGAAAGGAAGAACAAGTGGCTCAGTGTGTCCAGAATGGGGAGTCATGGGGTGAATGTTCAAAACTAGACTGAGGAAATAGTTGGGGTTTGCCCTGTGAAGGGCATGCTATGCCATGCTAAGGAGCTTGGACTGTACTCTATGCCAAGAGGGAGCCAGTGAAGGGGTTTTTAAGAAAGAAAACATCCCTGGGAGAATTAATTACTTTGTGTTCTCTCTCTCTCTCTCTCTCTGTCTCTCTCTCTCTCACACACACACACATTCGCACTTAATATATTCACTATTTCCTAACACAGAAGTTTAGAATAAACTCCTATATTTGATCTTCTGGCCCTACCCTATTTATTCAACTTTGTTTCTTTCCACTCCCTGAACCCTCTTACCAGACTGCCCATCCCCCTCTGGCCTAACAGTGAGCTCTTGTTTATGTCATTTGCTTTGCCTGAGAATAGACCAAGGCCAACCTCTTCCCAGATGCCCCGCTCCTCTGACCTCCTCCTAGAGTCCTCTAAGTCTATACTATAGCTTTTGGTGTTTTTTTACTATATGGTGTTATATTGTTTTCTAATTGATTGTGGCCCCCTTCTCTCCCGTACTAAACACACACTCTGTGGGCGCTGGCAAATAAGCTCCATAAGATCAAAGCTCACGCATTTCTTGCTCATCACCGTATCCCCAGTGCTTAGCTTATAGTGGATGACCAATAAAGATTCCTTAAACACGCAAGTGTAATTAAGAATACTTTTGTTTGATGTCTGTCTCCTCTATTCCATGAAGACAGGGATTTTTGTCTGTTTTTTCCACTGATGTTTCTTCCTAGAACAATGTGTGGCACATAATATTAATAGATGCTCAACAAATGTTTGTTGAATTAATTATGGGTTAGGATGCCAGGGATTTTGTCTGTCTTGTTCACCACTACATCCATCATTCCTGACATAACAGATGCTTGATAAACTTATTGAATGAAGGAGATCGAAATCATATCTTCGGCTTCTTTATATTGCTATCACACTGTTAAACACACGGTAGATACTCGATATGTATTTTTGATGTGTAGATTGGAAGTGAAGTAGACTGAGGTACGCTTCTGAATTTTGCATTATTGCACGTGCAATTCTCCCCCTGATGACTGAGAAGGGGTTATCTATTTCCTTGCATACACAGGGGAGAAACCCTTTCTATATCAACTTTAACATTTTTCTTCTACAACCACTGATTTTTCAACAGATGGAAATGTCAACTGTGAGGGGAGGGAGACTGTTAGGAGCGGATCTATACTATGGTAGAATAGTCTCATTATCAAATACTAAAATGAAGAAAGCATGCTTAGTGAAGAGAAACATCCGCCCTCCATCAGAGACCACTGGGAAACAGTTTAGCAATGGCTATAATCTTGCCATGCACCTATCATCTAGATTCACTTAAACAGCCTCCCACTAAATTTTCCCTAGGTATGCTTTTCCTCCATTCTTAATATGGACCATCGGTCTTGATTCTTCAGGCAAGAAGCACGTGGTATTTTTTGTAAACAATATAATCTTATCAGAAAGTGAAGTCCAGAGAAGTTAGATCACCAGAGCAAGGGATTCAAAGTATGTCTGACCCTGTACCATGTAGATGGCAAGGCAACTTGGAGTTGAAGAGTCTAAGGGATTATAGGAGAAATCTCCAGGGAATGTCAAAGTCAGCTACACTCTTCCCTTCTCCTTGGAGTTTCTGAAATTCCTTTTCATTCAATCCTGATGTCATGCTGAGTCATACAAAGTGTTCTTTTCAGTGCAACACATCTCTGGAGGCCCTTTAGCCAGCCTCTGTTAGTCATCACTATACTCACGGGCTTGGAGCCAGTGCCATTCACACTTCCCCCTGTTCCGCAGCAGACGGACTGAGTTTCTCTAATCCGCGTGTTCTTTCTCCCCCATCTCTCTAAAACCCTTCTCTGAGGGAGGAACAACTATAGTTGTGAGGATAATATAGCTTTAAGGAAACTTTTGGCAGATGCAGACGTCCTAACATCTGGGCAGTGTTAACAGAATCCCGGAGGCCCGGACAGACCAGGAGCCACTCGTTCTAGGAATGTTAAAGTAGAAGTTTTTTCCAACTGATGAGAGGAGCAGAGAGGAAGGAGAACGAGGAGGAAAGAGAAAGAGAGCACAAAAGACCGTAAACAGGTAAGATTTGCAATTAACCCCTCCACACTACATTACCCCAAATCACAACCACGGAGGGGCTAAAAAGACCCGGGACTTGGGAAACATGACTGAGGTTAGAGGGGGAGAAGCTCTTTCATGAAACTGTATCATATGCTGCATTTCATTGCACTTTGTGCCGTGACCTGGCTGCAAACACATGTTCCCGCTACCTTCTCAGCCCACAGCAGAGGGATGGTTGACTCTAGTGAGTCACGTTTTCAGTCTGAGACTGGGGAGGAGCTGGCAGGTAAGAGGTCACAGACTCAGAATGTCGGGTCTGAAGAAGGAAAGTCCCTGCTCCAGAACAAAGGAACTGGAGGGAGGCTGCATGTGGGAGAGGGGTCAGTGATCAGTTATCTAGCTGTTCATTTTCCTGGATCTCTCTTTAATCTCCTCTTTCTCCTTCTGTTGCCTCCTCCTGCTTTTATCCATCTCTTTCCTTCAGCTCCGTCAGACTTGCTTTTCTTTCTAGCTTCCTTCCCACATCTTTCTACTTTCCTTGCCTCCTTCACTTGCTGTCGCTTTTTCTCGATCCTGCTTCCTTGCCACTCTCTAGACAAAATCTGAAGCCAAGTAGCAATGAATTGGAAAATGAATTTTTGCCCTTCTTGGACTTTGCATGTCACTGAGGGACTCTGGCCAGAATCTGCCATCTTTTCGTTTCTCCGTTTCTGGGACTGACTGCTCCCCTGAGCGTGGCAGTTCACTGAAAGCATGTGGGTGAATGGGTGCTTACTGAAAGGTCCAGTGGCCAGTTTATACCAATGGGCAGTAAGTTTTAATCCTGTCATTTATGAAGTATTTGCCCACTGGGAACCACAAAACTCTCATCCCATTAGAGTGAGGACAGGGCAGGAAGTGAGAGGGTACCTGGAGCCTGCTCGCTTTCTCCTCATGTACCTCAGTAGGTCCTCCCCAACCTCTCTGACTTCCTGCTGGCTCAGCAGGGTGAAACTAGAAAGTTAGGCTCGACTTGAAAGCCAGAAGCCACTACCAAACCACTAAGCCTCGAAACCCAAAGCTAAGAGGAAAGCCAAAATATAGTTACTGCCTGGGAGACTAGGAAAGGAAACATCCAGTCCTGTCCAATACAAAGTTAGTAATAATATTGTCTAACATATATATTGATTGCTTCCCTATGTGCCAGGCAATAATCTGTTCTATAAGGTAGATACTATTATTATTTCCATTTTATAGATAAGGAAACTTAGGCTCAGAGAAGTTAAGGAATTTGTCCAAGGCCCCACAGACAATAGGTGACAAAATTGGATTTATATACAGATCTGTGTAACTCCAAAGTTCAAGCTCTTAGACTATATATGTTAACATTTTCCCAGATTAGTGGTTAGGAAATGCTAGTTGAATGGACGAAACCATTAAGTGGCAGCCTTTAGATCACCAGATTACCTTCTGGTTCTATGTGACTTTATGTTGTCCCTTTCCTAGTCTCAGTACCTCAGTGTCCCTCTCTGTAACTTGGACCATGGAGCATTTGCATCTGATCCCACCACAATCAGTTGAAGATTGAATGTTTCCTGGGAGGAAAAGGGACTGTAAATAACAAATAAAGTTTTATCATTCTATAAAGCAGAAGATCCTTATGAGGGGGATGATATAACAGACATTCATTAATTTTATTTTTTTTAATTTAATAGTATTTTAATTATAAAATCTCTCTTCTACCTCACAGATCCTGTATTTCTGCTTCCCCTCACTTTTGGAAATTCCCTGATGGCTGACTTCTGAAAGTCATTTTCCTTTGCCCTGGTACTTCAGGTCACATACCTCTACTCTTGTCTCCCTAACTCTCCCTTTCAAGGATGGCCAGTCAACTAACTCAAAGAGGAGCCCTCTCTCTGCTGTTCTTCTTAACTCCAGCAGTGACACCAACATGGTATGCAGGTAAGTTCTAAGTGCTGTTGTCCATTATTTCCAGGGAGGGCAGAGTCTAGACTAAGACTTGGAGGAGGGAAGAATTAGACTACAATGAGAGATCTCTATTTTACATACAGAGAAGAACTATTCAAGGACAATAAAGATGGTGAAACATTGCAACAGACTACCAAGGGAGGCTTTTGAGGCACTCTAGCAAGAGCTGTTTGAAAATAGGCTATGCAGGCACAAAAATGAAAAGGCTGGACAACATGGTCTTTGAGACCATTGTCTTTCCTACTTCCCCCCGCAGCTTCCCGAAAACCATTTTCTAATATGAATTTCTTTATGAGTCTAGTACTTATTAACATTAATCTCTTTACGAGTCAAATACCCTTGTCAAGACCACAAAAAATAGGACTTAGACCACATATCTCATTTGGAAAAAATAAGGGAGACAATCTATTCCAGGGAAACAAGAATCCATCAGACCTTCCATTCTCTCTCTTGCCTTCTCTCTTTCTCTCTCTATCTCTCTCCCACTCTGTCCCTGACCTTATTTTATAAAATGAGATTTTTATAGGTCCTTTCTACCAAAGCTGTTAATGGTAATACAGATCACATTCTCTAAATCAGGAATTCCCCAGTCTCTTCTGGTTTGTTCCTTACTTCAGAAGGGATGGAGATTTCTGGATTCCTGAACATTTCACCCTTCACCCCTGGAGACATAGGGAGCTAAAGAGAACAGACTCAGTGAGGATAGGGAAAGGGAGAGGGGGGAGGCATGAGGGAAGGATAATAAGGTGGCATACAGAGGCTTTCGATGAGGCCCAGCTGGCATTCCAATTGCTAAGAATATTCTGTGGCCTGCAGTGTCTGCCCTCACAGGGGCTGGGGGAAGTAGGGGAAGGAGACAGGCCCAACCAATGGGGTTAGGAAAATATCCAGGGATGAGTAAATAACAAACTGCTCCCATAACAGCCACAGTCATTGCGGCTAAAATTTTCCACATGCCCTTAGCTCCTGGTGGAGGCCTTTGGCAGTAGCTCTGTTTATCTGGAACAGCTGCATCAAGCTTTCAAACAAATATGCAAACTTCTTCCCCCCTTTGGCTTAACCTGGCTTTGTAGGGGGTGAAACACAAGGGCTGACATTGAGATGAAAAAATTCAAGTCAAGCCCTTGGCAGAGCACACACTGTTTGGAGTTAAATGAGCCCCAAGTCTCCAGGAGATAAATATGCAGCTGCCCACCCCCCGCACTCACCCTCCGCCTAGCTTTAGTTCAAGTACAGAAGACCAAAATCCAGCCAAAGACCACAGGACTAAGGGAAGGGGTATTAGATGGCTCAAAGCCCAATTTTGAACACCTGTATGAAACCTCATGGCATGCAAAGGCAGTTTTTAAAAACTTATATTCATTTGGGGTTCTCAAAGGGATGTTTGCAAAGGTGGCACACCCCACTTTCACATGAATCACCAGGTTACTCCTTCTGAGAAGCCCAGCCTAGCGAGGTCTCTGACAGCCCTACAAACCCACTCATTTTACTGTCTTCTATTCTTAGGAGGCTACATAAGAGGCATTTGGAGTTCCAATGATTCTCCCCTACATTGCTAGCTCAGCTTCTGGGCTTGCCTCTGTGCATTTGTTCATTCATTCATTCAACAAATATTTATTGAGCACTCTCTATGCATCCAGGACTGTTTTGTTCACTTCTATAGCCTTGTCCTCAAATGGGCATGGTACAAGGAAAGTGGCCAAGTGTGGATTCAGGGCTAATCAGAAAAAGGGTACAGGGATTGGAAAGGGTTAAGAATATAAATAAAGCAAAGAGTGAGTTAAAAGTGTGCATTGGCATATCTGTGCAGCTCAGAAAGTCAGACTGTTTCTGTCATCATAAGCCAAGCATTAATGTGGATCTTAAAATAGTCTTCAACTATCAATTACATTTCCAACCATACCTTTGTGAAGGGCAGTGCTTAGAGGGCCGGACTGTGCTGTGGAGGTTAGAGGAACCCAGTAGCAGACCACACAGTAATCAGCCACTGATTCATCTAAAGAAACTGAGGAATGCTGCCCAAGCCCTTCCGCCCAGGGCTGAAGAGGGACAAGCGGATAGAATAATGTAGAGCGTCCCTCTAGTTTCATTCTCATACCCCATCTCAGTATCCCAACATTTCCAAAAATGCTCAAAGACAGGCAAAGTGAGGAAATGGAAAAGTTTCAAGTGGTAAGGAAGCCTGAGCCCATTCCCAGCACAAAGCAAACTTGGCACTGGCCCAGCTACCTCCACACCCTAATGGACACTGTAATTATCTGATTGAGTCTTCCCCTCAGTTTTCCCACATGCCCTGTAATTCTGGAATGATGTCAAATACTTGGTGGCCTTCAATCCCACACACACAGAGTAAAAAAGCTGGGTTGCAAGAAAGATTTTGGATTTTTATCCCCGCTGGACATTGTCAAAAGCTCTCCCTAACCACCATCTTTAGTGGAATGTCTGAGTCTGGTAACTAGGGGTCAGACAGACCCACCCTGCCGCTTACTAGCTGCGAGATCTTGGGCAACTCCCTTGATTCCTCTGAACCTGCTGCTTCGTCTGTACATTGGAGAGTATTAGTGGTGTCTATCCTACTGAGATGTTATGGTGACATAGTGAGCTAACATATGTAAGGTGCTTAACCCAGAGTCGGAGCTGAGTGATGTTAACGGTCATTGTTGTTGTCGTGTTTGTTACTATTATTCAGCCATAGGCCTCTGACACTCCCATTTTCTCTTCTGGTAAACAGATGTTTGCTCTCTGCTGAGCATTTCTACAGCCAGCTCTAGAACAAGAGTGGGGAGACCTAATATTTTAGGGAATCATGCACATCTGGCCTCTTGTTTACAGGAGCTGGAAGGCTTGGAGACTAATACTAAACTGAAACAGCTGACAAGAATTCCATGACCCCCCACAGAGAAACCTTCCATGTGGGAAAAGGGGAGATGAGGCCTAAGGGAAAATAAAGGGAAGCCAGAAGAAGAATTGAAATGAGAAAACAGGAAAAAAAAAAGAAAGAAAGGGAAAGAGGAAAAATGAACTCTTTCCTCTGGAATGAGGGCAAACCAACAAGGACATGATTTCATAGGGCAAACTTTCAATTTGATTCATTCCCTTGTTCACCAAGTTGGACTGGTTTCCCAACACCTCACCCTCCCACCCCCAGTCTGGGCTCCTGGCGAACGGAGGAGCTTCATCATGGAGCCCTCTGCTCCACCCTTCAGTGCAGGGGGCCCTGTGCCTCTTCCCAGCAAGGAGGCATGCAAGCTTGTGGTCTGAGTGTTTACACAGGCCAAAGGGCTCCAGCACTAAAACCCAGCCCTGTCCTGGAAGCACACCCTCTCCTGGAAATGGGGAATTGTCTTCTGACTCCAGCACGAATGGCTGCCCTATTCTTGTGCGTGCATTAGGGCTCAGGGAGGCTAAAAGCAGGGCTTCCGGAAACTTCTCTCCGGAAAGGACCAAGTTGTTTTCCAATTAGTTCGTATTCATGACCGATTTCCTGCCGTCTGGTGGAACATACTGTTTAGTCTCCCAGACAGCCGCAGACCTGCCTCCACCAGGGACTGTGCCACTTGACGGAAGTAGATTAGGAATGTTCTTTAAGCTCAGCAGCTGCTTACTAAAGCCCCTGCTGATTAGAGAAACAGGAAATTTATCCAAAGGACTCTGCCTTCTCTTTTCTCCAAACCAGGGCAAAGTGCTCATGAAACTGTTCTCATTTCTCCTTGCCTTTTGAGCCATTCCTCTCTGCCTTGGCATGCCACCTCCAGCAAAGGCAATCAAGTGGCAAAAAGGCTCATGCCTTGTGGGCTAGTGGGAGCTTGAGTTACTGTTTCCCTCTGAGGACTGTGAGCAGGCCTGTCACTAGGGACAAGACACTTACTCAGGCTCTGTTTTCTCCTCCTAGCTGGAACCACAGTCCATCCTCAGAGCTTGGTCATCAATGACTCACCAAGACTCAAGTGTTGCATCAAGGAAATGGGTTATACGTAGGCCAGATTGACGGGATTGATGAATGGTCAAGAAGTTCGATTATTTTTTCTTTTGAATGGAGTTTTCTAGTGTTACCAGTAAGCCTCCTGACCACGACCTTGCCCTATATGCCCCTGAGATGCTGAGGTTTTGCCCACAGTAGTTCTGCTGCCTTACAAGGCAAAATTTCCCCCACAAAATATTCACATGGCTCCTGACCCATGCATGGAGCACCACGTCCTCAGGAACAAAGTTGGATGGGTGGTGGGAGAGGAGGAAGGTTGGGAAGGACTTGAGGGAGAAATCAAAACACCATCTTGATATTGTCTTCTTCATTCTGTAATAGGTTCGGGCTACTATCCAGATGAAAGCTACAATGAAGTATATGCAGAAGAGGTCCCACGGGCCCCTGCCCTGGACTACCGAGGTAATTCTTCCTGCTCCTCAGGCTCAGGAAGGCTCTATTCTGGCCTAAGACCTAGGCCCATCCCTGAAGCATTCTCATCAGGCTAGGCTCATATGTGCCAAAACTGCAGCACAGGGACACAGGGGCTGTGATTTCTACTCGTGAACTTGGTTACTGACTTGCTGTGTGACCTCACCTCTCTAGCCCTAAAGTTGCAGATCTATTATTAATCATTAAGTATTCACTGAGAACCTACTTTATGACTAATTCTGTGTAAGGTAAGCCTTTGGGTGATACGAAGTCTAAGATATGGGTTTTTCTCCCTCAAGGAGCTTACATTCTGTTGGGGGTGAGGGGAGGATAAAATTAGCTACATGGTAGCAGTAAATGCAATAGGAGTTAAGACGAAGAGATGAGGTCATGAGAGATGATGTTTAGACTAGGCCTAGAACTATGGGTAGGATTTTGAGAACTAGAAAAGGGAGTGAAAGACATTCAGCAAAGCAGATGGTTAAAAACAAGGAGGTTGGAACAAACCTGGTAGAGGAGGGAGCTAAGAAGAAACCACTGTGACTAGAGGAGATGGACTATGGAGGTAGTAGAAAAGCAAAATTGAGACTGTGTGTGGTGGCTCATGCCTGTAATCCCAGAACTTTGGGAGGCCAAGACAGGAGGATCACTTGAGGCCAGTAGTTCAAGACCAGCCTGGGCAACATGGCAAGACCTTGTCTCTACAAAAAGTTTAAAAATTAACCAGGCATAGTGGTGCATGCCTTTAGCCCCAGCTACTCGGGAGGCTAAGGTAGGAGGATCGCTTAAGCCCGGGAGTTCGAGGCTGCAGTGAGCCATGATCACGCCACTACACTCCAGCTCCAGCCTGGGAAATGGAGCAAGAAAAAGGAAAAAAAAAAGAAAAGAAAATTGAATATAAAGAGTGAGACCAAATTAGGAAAGACTCCATGATCTGGGGACTCTTCTAAGGAGAGGCAAGTGGACTGAAGAATGCTGAATAGCAATTCTTGCATTATAAAGAAAGTTAGGCCAGGTCCTATCTAGTATCCCTTCTGTTTCTGATTCTCTGTTTCTATGCTCTGCAAGCCATGCAGAAGAGTTCAGCTGTTGTGCTAGGAGCTATATGGAGCCATCATATATTTGTGCACAGGGAAGTGACACAGTAAATTGTAATTTCAGAGCATTAATCTAGTTATTCTGTACAAAAAGTAGGGATTTGGAGTGGTAGAGCCTGAGTCAGGAAGACTCTCCAGAAACCAGTTACAGTAATGTTGCCTAGAGATGATTGGGGGTAGTGGCAAAAAAAAAAAAATGGAGAGTAAGGATGAACCCCAGGGATGTTTCAAAGAAAGAGATGACAAGATTTGAGATGATACAGATTTGATGTACCAAAATGCTAAGAAAGCAACTGATGTCTGAAAGCATCCAGTCTGAATATCTGGGAGAATTGCAGGACCCCTCTCAGAAAGACAAGGTTAAAAAAGAAAACTGGTTTGGTAAAGATGCCCTATAGGCTGTTGGAAATGGCAAGAAGGAGCTTTGTAAGTCATCACCTTAGATGCATGGGCTGTTTGAGAGAGCAGAGGGCCAAGGCTGGAGGCTTAGAAGACATTTGTAGATATGAGTAGGAGAAGAGGAGCCAGCAAGGCAAAAATAGAGAGTTGGTGGTCAGCCATGTAGCAGGAGATCAGGATAGTGTCTATCATAGAAGCCACAGGAGAAGAGAGTTTTAAGGAAAGGGAGTAGTAAGAGATCAACTGTGTCAAATACTGCAAAGAGATCAAATCAAGAGTAGAGCAAACATTTTATTTGGCGAGAAGGAGATAAATGGTGACCTTTGAGAAAATAGTTTCAATAGAGAAATATCAGAGCTTTGGGCTCCTCTGGGCTCCTTTCTAGCTACCTTTTACCTGTTTTCTTCTCACTGCCAAATGGTCCACACTCACTGCCTCTCTCTCTCAACACCCACTAACTCCTAAACTCCCTACAGTCTGTTTCCCACCCACGCACCCACAAATCTCCAAGCTGAAATGACATCTCTTGAAGATCACAATTCTCTCCCAATGACCAAATCACATGGCCCTTTCTTGTGATTCAGGAGCTTCAGACTCCTCAGTCCCTCCAGCAGCAGTGGACACATCTCTTTCTTCTCCTCCCTTCCTTGGGCTCCATGACATTGCACTGTTCTGGCCACAGCTGAAGCTAAGAAAGGCGATGGGCTCTCCAGCGGTGACAATAGAGAGAATGAGGCTGGGATCTGAACTTCAAGCAGCCCTGACCCGTCTCCTGAGCTCCTAGATTCCATCTCCAACTGCTGCTGGGCACTTCCATTTGGAAATGTCTGAAACAAAATTCTTTCATCTTGCCTGAAAAAGGTTCTACCAGCTGACCTCCCCACTTCTGATAATGGTACCATCATTCTCTTAGTTACTTGGACTTCAAAATACCTCAATGTCACCTCTAGTAGCCCCTATCACCTTGAGTCGCCCCCCTTTCCTCATCACTTCTCACAGTCGGTCACTGAGACCTGTCATTTCTTTATTAATCCATTTACCTCACACATTTACCTCACACATATGTAATGGCAGTTGCCTCTAACTGGATTCTCTGACTCATGTTTCTCCCTCCTCCAAACCTAATGGCCCACTATAACCATTTTTAACCAGAATCTGGCCTCAGTCTAGCTTCCCAGCCTGACAACTTCTCACTCATTCTCCCCACCTGAAATCTATGCTTCAACCTGGCTACTCTGTTCCCAGACTGCCTTAGCCCACACTGAGCTTTCCCTCACCCCTCCATTCTCTCACTGAATATTTATTGAGTACCTACTATGTACCTCTTCTCAATTAAATGTTTATTGTCTAGACCACTCCTTCGGCCTTCATTGTGTACTGCCTCTTTGGTTTACTTTTTATTACTCTCAATGAAATAGTTATCTATTTAACAGAAGGAGCATGTGTGTCACTCTCACCGAGCCACATATAATAAAAAGTAGATGCCGACCATTGGCATTCTGGGAGCAGAAGCCATATCGTGGGAAAATATAAATGGGAGAGGTGCATAGTAAAAAGCAACAGATGCAGAAGGTACATTCAAGGGAGCTGACAGCCCTATGATTAATATTAACCTTCCTCATTGGTTAATAAGCATAAAGCCCTTTAGAAAAATATAAGCTGCATAGCAGATTTTGGCCTTGGGATCTAGTGTCTCATGGCTGTCTTTGAGACTTAGTCTCAGGGCGTAAAACGAATTGAATGAGGTTATCAATGATGGGGGGAGTGGGTGGCCAGGAAAATAACAACCTGAGGTACCAGCCTCCCATATTAGGTCTTTGTGACCTCATAATCAACAGCTCTGCAACTGCAGTGCTTAAGAAATTTCCATAATTTGGAGATGGTGTCTCCGGATGGCAGTGGTGTGTGTCACAGGTCACATGCTTGAAACTAACGCTGGAAGCTACAGCCACTTGTTGCTTGAAGAGGGTTGAGACAGTGGCTCAAATCCAGACACTGACCTAGGGAATATCATTCGTAGGGTTAGATATTTTACACACTCAATGTAATTTGATTCTTATAACAGCCCTATGGAACTGGTTTATTATCCCTCATTTTACAGATCGGGAAGCTAAGCTCAGGGAAGTTATATTTGGAGAGTCACAGAGCTTGGAGATGCTCGGCACGGCAGGAATTTAAACCTTGGTCTTTGACTGCAAAGCCACGCTCAGTCTATCTCTTTCATCAAAAATGTAACTCATTGTTTAAGAAAAGAACCAGCCGGTAAAAAACCAGATCGTTATTTTAGAGCAAACTGCCATGTCATTTGCTATCACTTTCATTCATCTCACACTTTCTGTCATGCCCTTATCCTGACTCCTAGCTTGGAGTCAGAAACCCTTTTCTGAAGTTTTCCCGCAGTTGGCTGGGCTGCTGCTTTCCTCACAGCTTGCCTCAGCCCTGGGCAAGCCAGTCACGCTGCCTGGGTTATCTGAAGATAATCACAAAGAAGGCCCTTTCAACCCTGTTGTCAGCACTTTTTTTTTCTTAATATGCCCTAAAAAGAGATAGATGAATAGCTACAGAGACAGAGGCCATGAGCCTGAGTTCAAATCCCAATTCCTCCACCTTCCAGCTCTTTGACCCTGGACATACACCTATTATGTGCCAGACACTGTGCTATGTATTTTACAAATGTTATTTCATTTAGATAAATTGCATGCTTGCTATGTACTGATGTAAAAAGATCTGTAAATACATCGTTAAGTTGTGGAACGGTGGGCGTAATAATGCAATTGTATGTTCTAAAAAGGAGGGGAAAAATAAGAAGCTATATACCAACCTTTGCTTTATATGCATAAAGAAACTTTTAATAGTGGTTCATTGGGAGGGAACTAAGGAGGTGGGAGGGAGATATTTTACTATGTAACTTTCTATACTTTTCGAACTTTGAGCCATGTGGATATATTACCTATTCAACAAGGTCATTGTTTACTTCAAAATAGCAGCCTATCATGATGCAGTGGCAGATATCGTGGTTAGAAAGGATATGGGTTTTAGAGCTGACAAAGCTTGGGTTCAAATCCAAGCTTTGCCACTTACTTGCTGAGGGACCCTGGGCAAGTTACCTCCTTATCTGCAAAAGAAGGATACACACCTACCTACCTCACAGCGCTGTTGGGAGAGCTATATGAGACGATGTACGGGAAAAGGAAGACATGTAGCCTGATGCCTGGCACACAGTGGATATTCAGTAAAGACTTACGCATTTTCGCCATGTAGCGTTTAACTACATTCTGAATTTCAGGTTCCCACTGACATTCTTTAGGTACAGTTGCTCAGCCAGTTATGAATCATTTTAACCGTGTTGTCACCTCTCCTAAATTTCTTCATCTCATCCACATTAGTGGCATGAAAAGCATTATTACATGCCTCACTTACTTCCGCAAAGTGTACCCATCACTTCTCCTGCTCTTCCAGTCTGGTGACCCTACCCAGAAGCAAATGAGGTCAGTCTGGAATTACTTGTTTCCAAGGGCTCCTGGATATCACTACTCCTCTAACTGCCATAAACCTTACATTTAAATATTCTAGAACACTATGCTGTCAGTGCTGTCAGTGTCACCAGCTTATAGTTCCCAGAGGCTACGTTCTTCCTTATTTGAAAATTGAGATTGTGTTTTTGCCCTTCTCCAGTCTTTCAACATTTTGTCTTTATGCCAGTGTTCCTCCAGGTCAGCAAGTTTAAACTTAGTTACAATAGCTGGGGCCTCTCCTACTGTCTCGGCGTTTATCCTGGGCTTTATATTTCCCTTTACCATTCTTGCTCGTTCTCCCCGTTCCAATCCGATGCATATTTTCCTTGACAGAATATGGGAGAAAAATAGAATGGGAGTGATTGTTGAAGTCCCAGGCTCCCAAACAAGGTCTTTGTGGTACGTGTTGTGGCTTTATAATCAACAGCTCTGCAACAATAGTGCTTAAGAGACTTTCTGTAATTTGGAGATGGTGTCTCCAGATGGCAGCCGTGTGTCACTGCCATAAGCTCGAAACTAACGCTGGAAGCCCCACGCGTGGTATTGGTTGAACAGTTTTCTCACTGTCATCTGTCTTCATTCTCCAGCTGCGCTCAAGCAGAGGCTCTAGCCTTTCTTTGTTCCTTTGGCTTCTCGTCTACTTTTTGTTTTGCAAAGCCCCCTCTTTTTTGTCCCTTACGATTTGGAAACTGAATCAGCTCACATGGGGCTTTAGCCTTCCCGACCCTAGGCTAACAGATCTGCATCATGTTCTGTATGCATCCTTGGGCAGGTGGCCCTCTGCTTGTTTATCTGTGTCCCTTTAAACTCTGAACCCACTACAGAGTCGTTTGCTTTGTATACCCAGTGAGGCATCTTTATGATGCCCTTATGATTTAACGACCCTGTAACCTTTTGTGCCCAGTGCTGAACTGGGATCGGGCTCTCTTTCCTAAGCAGACTTCTTTGATGTCACATTCCCTTCCTCTCTCTAGCTCACATTGTCATGTTATTTTTTAAAAACTTATTTTAAATTTACATACAGTAAAATTCCCTCTTTTGGTGTACAGTTCTATGAGTTCTGACAAATGCATTGAATCAGGTAATGACCACCACAGTACGAAACAGTTCCATCACCTCAAAAATTTGCCCAGCACTGCCCCTTTGAGGTTATGCCCTCCCTTCACCCTGATCTCTGGCAACCACTGATCTGTACTCCATCACTATATTTTTGCCTGTATTTTTGTCATATAAATGGAATTCTACAATATGTAACCTTTTGAGTCTGGCTCCTTTCACTTCACAAAATGCATTTGAGATTCATCCATATCGTAGCATGTACCAGCACTTCATTTTTTTGTATGGATAAACCACATTTAGTTTAACCGTTCACCCACAGAGAGACATTTGAGTTGTTTCCAGCTTTTGGCAATTATGAATAGAGCTACTTTAAACATTTGTGTGCAGGATTTTGTGTGGATACAGGTTTTCATCTCACTTGGGTAAATGCCTTAAAGTGGGATTGCAGAGTCACATGGTAAATGTACCTTTCTTTATAAGAAAGTGTGGTGTTGGCCTGGCGCGGTGGCTCACTCCTGTAATCCTAGCACTCTGGAAGGCCAAGGCGGGCAGATTATTTTAGCTCAGGAGTTTGAGACCAGCCTGAGCAAGAGCGAGACCCCATCTCTACTAAAAAAATAGAAAGAAATTAGCTGGACAACCAAAAATATATATAGAAAAAATTAGCCGGGCATGGTGGCGCATGCCTGTAGTCCTAGCTACTCAGGAGGCTGAGGCAGTAGGATTGCTTGAGCCCAGGAGTTTGAGGTTGCTGTGAGCTAGGCTGATGCCACGGCACTCTAGCCCAGGCAACAGAATGAGACTATGTCTCAAAAAAAAAAAAAAAAAAAGAAAAAGAAAGTATGGTGTTACTTTTATAAGAATCTATCAAAATATTTTCTAAAGCGGCTGTATTTTTGCATATCCACCAGCAATGTATGAGAGTTCCAGTTTCTCTCCATCTTCACCAGCACTTGATATTGCCAGTTTTTTTAAGTTTAGACATTCTGATGGGTATACAAATGATATCTCATTGTGGTTTTAATTTGAATGTCCCTAATGAATAATGATGCTGAACATCTTTTTATGTGCTCATTTGCCATCAGTATATCCTCTTTGGTGACATGTCTGTTCATATCTTTTGCCCATGTTCTAACTGGATTGTTTGCTTTTTCACTGTTGAGTTGTCAGAGTTCTTTCTATATTCTACATACTAGCCCCTTGTCAGATATATTGTTTGCAAATATTTTCTCCCAGTTTGTGGCTTGTCTTTCATCTCTTAATAATGCCTTTCACAGAGCAGAAGTTTTTACTTTTGACAAGGTAGGTCCAATTTATTAATTTTTCTTTTATGAATTGTGCTTTTGGTATCATGTCAAAGATCTCTTTGTGTAGCCCTGGATCCCAGAGATTTTTTCCTATTTTTTTTAAGTCCATTATCTATTTTGAGTTAATTTTTGCTAAGCTGTGAAGCTTAGGTAGAGAGTTTTTTTCTTTTGCATATGGAAGTACAATTGCTCCAGCACCATTTGTTTGAAGGTGATCTTTCTTCCATTGAATTGTTTTTGCACCTTTGTCAAAAATCATTTTGACATACTTGTGTGGGTCTACTTCTGGGCTCTCTATTCTGATCCATTGATCTATGTGCCTATTCTTTCGCCAACACCACCCTGTCTTGATTACTGTACTTCTAGCTTCCTTTTCTTCTATTGCTACAGTTCCCCGATGGTGTTATACATTAAATATCCAGGATGGAGAAGCCACATGCTACTCACCAAGGGGAGGAAATTATCACAGCAGCCTGGGCACACGTTGTGAGCTCTCTTGTGATCGGGGCTTTCGACTGATTGGACGAAGGTCGGTGCAATGCCTGCCAAGCCGCCGTTGGTCTGGAACTGCCTACTGCAGGCGTAAGTTGTGTGTGTGTGTGTGTGTGTGTGTGTGTGTATGTGTATGTGTGTGTGTATGTGTGTATGCTGATGTGTGTCTTCCAGAGAAGCCAGCCAGCCAGCCACTGAGGGTATATGTCTGGAGGTTTATTATGCCTTTCTCTCAAGTGCAAATTGAGAATTTTCCACAGGCCCCCAACAGGGCCTTTCCCCATCCTAAGATTCTAGTTCATTTTCTCTCCCTGTGGTTACTGCCCAAGCAGCATGGGCATTTAAGTAGCAACCAACCCTTCTGACTCAGGGAGCCCAGGGGTGCAGATAGCGGGTTAAGGCTTAGGCCTGAGGCCTGTTGTAGACTTGGGCCTGCTTCTAGAGCTCCTGAGGATGTGCGGTCTCAGACTCTTTCCCACTTGTGGTCAACTGCTGTACTTCCTGGCCTACAACCTTATAAGGCCTTGGCAGTCAAGTTATGAGACATCTGCTGTTCTTCATTTTCTTCTGAAAGTCAGAAAAATCCCTAAAGCTAGAATGTGAGGATGCTAATACACTCACATTCCAAATCATGTCCCCCTTCAGCTTCCAAATCCCTACCTCTTGTTCAAGCTCCATAGCCTACCCCCTTTTAAGAGCTGAGCTTTATCTGTCCGTATGTCCATGGGTCAATACCATTTGTATGACACTCATGTGTGCAGGGCCCTATATTGGTCACTTCGGGAGGTTACTCAGTTCCTCAAGTACCCACAGGCTGCTTATAGACTAATGGGATAGAAACACAAATGTGTGCACACGAATGTCATGCAACTTGACACAGAAGTGCTGAGCATTAAGAGAGAAATGGGGCTGGTCAGAGAAGATGCTGTGGAGGAGAAAAGAAGGTTGATAGCCAGAAAGAAGGCAGTCATCCCACCCCTCCGGTGACTGGAATTAAGTTGTTTCGGGACTTAGACCCCATCATTTCCTAAATGAATTTGAATTGGCCTGACAAAATTGAAAAATATAAGGCTATAAATTACAAGTGAACATTAAAACCAGTTAAAAGAATGGAGACATACATGTCTCCAGGTGACTAGAATGCGTTGATTACTGCACTGAAGCACGGACTCCAGCTTTGACCTTCCTTATAAGAAATAAAAGGGCAAACACTTTGGATCTATCATTTTCACTGTCATACGATACTAAGCAAACAAATTCATCTGAACAGACCAACCTTTCTTCTTGGCCCTAATTTCAAGGAGGTCACTTTTACATAGGTCTTTAGGTAAGGGATACTGGAAAACAGAAAAGGCAATCATCTTCAAGTCTGGTTTGGCCCAGAAGCAAAATGAACATAGCTTGTATAAATCTTTACTAAAACCCCAACAATTGAATGTATGCGGGATTTGAAGTTAAACAACCTGAAGTAATATATGGCCGACTTCTCTCAAGTGTCAGGTATCTCAAACAAGACTTTGGCCAGCATAGACTCACAATTAATTCACAGTGGCAGGCTCTGCTTCTGGCATGTGTGTTGTCTAAAGCACATAGAGTCTGCTTTTATCAAATACCACCATACCTGGCCCTTCATGCACTGGTCTGCTTGTTTTCTAGCTGGGACAGAGGGCCAGCCCACTTTGGCATGTAAGTGAGCCTTAGCTGAGCAGTGCCTGTAGGAGTGCTAAAGTTATACTCAAAAAGGAGCTTTGAATATGCTCAAGGGCATCAAGCATTTGAGGAACAAGAGATGAAAACGAATAGGTGCTGGGGCCCTAAATGAGCCCAGAGGTTCATATGTATTGTCTCTATTAATCTGCATAACAATCCTATGAGGTATCCACATTTTGTTGATGAAAACACTGAGACCCAGAGAGATAAGGCAACTTCTCCAAGTTACAGAGCTCCTAAGAGGTGGAGCTGGGATGCAAACTCAGGTCTGATCTTGAAGTCCATGGGCTTGTATAAGTAAGTATTTAAATAATTTCCTTCTTTGAGACTCCCTCACAAGAGTGCTGCTGTACTTTATAATATGAAAATGCAGAGACAATTAGGGGAAAAGGGCTAAAAGGCAGTTAGGCACAAAAATATCAGGGCAGTTCAGGTAGAATGTCTATATTTTCTGCTGCCTCTGATATCGTTCTCTCTGTGCTGGGTGCTCACATATCACCTCCAGATAGTCCCACAGGCCACTGAGCTTCCTACTTGGTTCTCTCTTAGAGATGAGATGCCACGCACTGCCATTGATCACTAGTGGCACTTACACCTGCACAAATGGGGTGCTTCTTGACTCCCGCTGTGACTACAGCTGTTCCAGTGGCTACCACCTGGAAGGTGACCGCAGCCGAATTTGCATGGAAGACGGGCAGTGGAGTGGAGGCGAGCCTGTATGTGTAGGTAAATGCTGCTTGTTCCCAGTTGCCCTGCTGCAAAGAGCCACCCTAGCATTATAGCCACAAAAGATGTGAAATTCGCACCGCGGCCGGCATTCTTGTTCACTATGGTGGTGGCACCCTGAGCATATGCTTAACAAAATGATCATTTTCCCTGGAGTTGGGCCTCCTTCCCCAGTTTCTTTGAGCACCTTGAACTTTTTACCTACCCAGGGGTGTATGGTATTATTTCGATGGGTTCCCTCCCGGGAAGTCAGAGGCCCGCAAGTGAACACTTGATTATTTACCTTGGCAGACATAGATCCCCCCAAGATCCGTTGTCCTCACTCACGTGAGAAGATGGCAGAGCCAGAGAAACTGACTGCTCGAGTATACTGGGACCCACCCTTGGTGAAAGATTCTGCTGATGGTACCATCACCAGGTAAGCCTGGGTAACAACGCCCCTTATGCCTCCCAGCAGCTTCTCCCAGCCCCCCAGGCTGCTCACACTGAAACTGCATAGGCTGAGGCTACCGTGATGATGTGCCTCAGGCCTCAATTCTAACGGTCTCTTTCCTCAGTGGCTCTTTCACCCTGTCCCACGCAGGGTGACACTTCGGGGACCTGAGCCTGGCTCTCAATTTCCCGAAGGAGAGCATGTGATTCGTTATACTGCCTATGACCGAGCATACAACCGGGCCAGCTGCAAGTTCATCGTGAAAGTACAAGGTCAGAAAGAATTCTTCAATTTCTGCATTGTTTGTTATTCCTGCTCTACCCTGACCTTCTAAAAGCCCACCACGAGCCTCTCCTCCCTATCCCTGAAACAGACACGCCTCATTTATACTGAGAGAGGGAAAAGACAAGTTCACCGAACAGGCTCATTCAGGAAGCCTACATTACATGTACATGCGTGTCTTTCTGAAACCTGGACTCCCCAGTAAGACATTCCCATCCTCCTAAATCTAGATAAAATTCACAAAGATAGTCACTCTGTATCTTTTTCTTTTCTTGGACTTCAGAATGATCAAATCTAATCATCCTTCATTCGCCTGTGCTGAAACTGGTGGTGTTGGCTGCCTGATTCTTCCTCTTTGCTTTGTATTGTATTGTTTTGCTTTTATCATTAAAAAAATAATTCATGCTTATTTTTGAACATTTGATAAAGAAATATATAAAGGAGAAAAATCTATTATTACATGATCCAGAGGTAATTGTTACTAACCTTTTGGTATTTTCCTTCCAGTCTTTTTTCTATGCATACTTTCAAAAAATATATAGTTGAGATCATACTGTATAGCCAATCATAGATCATCCTTTTCCACTTTTCATTAAAACAATGAATTGTTTTAGTGTTACAATGAACAATGAATTAATGTCCCATGTTATTTAAAAATTCTTCAAAAATATTTTTAATAACAGCGTAATATTCTACTATAAGAATATATCGGCCGGGCGTGGTGGCTCATGCCTGTAATCCTAGCACTCTGGGAGGCCGAGGCGGGTGGATTGTTTGAGCTCAGGAGTTCGAGACCAGCCTGAGCTGTCCGTATGTCCATGGGTCAATACCATTTGTATGACACTCATGTGTGCAGGGCCCTATTTCCAATCCGATGCATATTTTCCTTGACAGAATATGGGAGAAAAATAGAATGGGAGTGATTGTTGAAGTCCCAGGCTCCCAAACAAGGTCTTTGT